AGTGCAGTGTGTGCACGTCTTCCTATAGTTGTGTGGATAAATCTGTCTGAAACCATCACTGTGAGGACATGTCGTCCTGTCCTCAACCCTTCAAAGGACTGTTTGAGGGCTCGGATGTGGTTTCAGGGTTGGGGTAGGAAGATGCAGGAAAACCACTGGGTATGTGTGACACTCACCTCCTCCGTCAGGTTTGAGCCCTCCTGCCAACATCCTGATGAAGGTCGTCTTTCCTGTTCCTGCAGAGACACACACACACCAAAACACACATTAATATATTAGAAAACACCTACATGTCATTTACAATCCACAGAAACATCTGAGCGTTAAGGCCTGAGGTGTGGTCATAGCTTTATCTAGCTGTACCTATTAAACTGACAACTGAGTACATGCTCAGCTACAACTCACCGTTCTCTCCCAGCATCACCATGATTTCAGAGTCCGTAAATTCTCCTCCTTTGATCTCCAGCGTGAACTCGCCCATCGTCTTCAGCATGTTTGGGTACTGAGGAGCAACAACAGGCCGAACGTCAGCTCCGAGCTCGGAGGTTAGACGTGTTTCACACAAACAGCCTCACTTCTCTCTTTAGTGAGCACATTTTTAACTCACAAGGAAAAGAACATATGTCACAGGAACAAGAAGAAAAACCTCTGCAGTAACACAATCTGAATTTTCACTGCATTATCTCAACAAAACAGACTAATTTATTACTGGGATCCCCATCAGTCGATGGAGATCAGCCGCTACGCTGCCTGGGGTCCACGCAATAAACGCTATAAATGAGGGAGGAAAGAAAGACGAGAGAGATGGTGGGAAGGATGGGGTAAAGAAGTAAGGAAAGATGAGGGGAAAAGGAAGGACTTACATAGGAAAAGAAAGTATCAGAGAAAGGGAACAAGAACATGAGGAGGAGAGTAGAACAGATACAGGAAACGACAATATGGACGAGCTGAACGCACCTGGTAGTGTCTGAGTCTCTTCACCTCCTCCTCGTTGGCCGTCTCCGCCACTTTGAAGACCAACGAGGTCTCACGAAACCTGAGATTCTCTGTGGGGACGTAACCGTCCAGGAAGATGTTGATACCTGGAGGACAGAAGGCAGCGCTCACATCATGTAGGAGGGAAGGAGAACCGAACCCCTCCTATTCATCTGGCTCCGTAACATCCAACCTTTATGCTAAGCTAAGCTAACACCATCTCCATGTTGATTTTCTATCCAGATCCTAAAGGCTTTAAGACTTCATACAAGACCCTGCTATGCCAACACCAGTCCGCTGGTGACGTCCTACGAAGTATTCACCCAGTCCCTCCAGGCTTGTCTTTCAAAACTCACTATCAAATCAACACGCTCAGATTATTTCCTTTTGTGAAGGTGAACCAACGTTACAGCA